TTCAATTCCAGTTTGTGGAGTTTCTTCCACGATACGCTTTAATTCACCAAAACATTCCTGGTTGCTGCTGGCTGGAACCAGTCCGACCTGTGCCTCCCATCAGCCTCTCCCAGGCCACTGCTGGTTGAACACTGTATTGGATTTCCTGCCATTACCTCATTTTGGTTGTTGGGTTTTGTCCAAGACACAATGGCTGCCTCTAAAACCAGATTCCAATCACACTGTTGTTTCCTGTTTACTTACATTTTGTCTTCAGTTTCTCCTCTTTCCCTCCACCCAGTGATACCATCCCCAGCAACCAGCGGCTCACCTACACAGATATTACTTTTAATACTTTTTACATCTTTTTTTATGGTCTTTCTTAACCTCATTAGTGTAAATGCAAGAGCCCACAACTCTCAAGTAAACTAAAATGATCCAATAATTAGATTTCCAGAGGTATAAAAACATAGATATTGTTTTCTTGTAAGAGCCTCACCCTAAATAATCTCGTGTTCTTGTGCCCCAAATGAGTCCTTCGAGTTTTAAAGAGGAAATTGAATTTGAGGGTTGGCGTGATGGGAGCTGATTCAGATGGTGAATTTTGTTTTGTTTCTCTGGCGACAATAAAACTGTGTATCTCATTTGTGTATCTGGACCAGATTCATCCTTAACCCTCTGTTGAGTGAATGTTCTTAAAGACAATGAATCACATTGAAATAAAGTTAATTAAGGGGTTAAAAAAATAAGATTTTATCATCCTTGGTTGAGTTCAGTGTAAATAACTGAACTAGATTTCTAGACTTTAAAGCTTTATTGACTTACATCTCTAATAATAAAGGTTTAATTAGTGTGTGTGTGTGTGTGTGTGTGTGTGTGATGGTGGGCTGTCGTCAGTGTAGTTTGTTTTCTCTCTTGCTAAATATATCTTAATCTCAGTGAGATTTCCTGAATAAAATAAAGCTTCACTAACTTAAAGAATACCTGTAATACAAAATGCAGAATTTCTGTCCCATCAGTTGAATGAGCTCAGACGTCAAGCGTGGTGTAGCTGTAAAAAGTTGTGAAGAGGAAGCTGCAAATAGCGGAGGGTCTATTTGGTTTCAGGGGAAATTACAGCACATGAAATGACACTACGTTGGTTTATCACCTTCTTATTTCCTCTAGAAAGTGTGCCCCCTGTTGCTCAACCTATTTCAGTAGATCAGATTGACGCTGTCCAGTAAACCTCTGGATCATTTTCAAAATGAATCATTTACAAAATGCAGCTGGAAGCTTCGGTGCTCAACTGTACCTGCGTACTGAAGCTGCTGTTCAAGTTGGACATTTACTATTTCAAAGTATCTTTACATGTCAGCATTTTCACATTTAATTTCTTCTAACAGAAGTTTTACAGTTAAGTCAAGGTGAGTTAAAGCTGAAAACGGATGCATTTTGTGGATTAAAAAATAATCCTGGGATGAAACTGGTTTCACTCAACTATAAAGTATGAAAAGCACAAGATCACATACAGCGACGCAACCAGTTTATCATGACGAGAGAGAAAATAAATCAGGTGTCTACATCAGAGTACAGTTAGTGCAAAAGAAGTTTCACTTCCTGAAACATAGACAGTGTAAGTAACAAGTGTAATGGTCAAAGGTCGTAGCATTCAGACAATAACACCAGTAGTTTTAATAATAATAATAATAATAATAATAATAACCCTTACTGTTGCCCTGATGACCAGCTTTGAAGAACAACGCAGACATTTCACAGATTACTAAAGACTTTGTAGCCCGCTGATACCTGCAGTGGATTCCATTGATGCAGATAGTTTTGGTTTTTATTTGTCTAACATTTGAGATTTCTATCTATTACTTGTGTTGCTCACAAAGTTGGAAAACAACCCAGTTACTTGTAAACAGCGTCCCCAGTAGTTCTTGTAAAGCTGAGGAATGTTCTTTTCTTTCTTTCTATTTGGCTGAACTGAAAGTTTCTTTATTTCTTTTTGTTATTGCACACTCAGCAGCCCTGTCTTTGTCCTCTTGGTGAATGCAAGTCCAATAAGTCACTCTTAATTCGAGCTCTGTGGCCTCTGGAGGAAATAATACCCGGCTCTGGAGCTGCTCAGTGTTTCACTTTCTTCACTAGTTAGTCACACACTTTGTCTAATCTGCAGATTGATACTGAGAGTGATCCCAAACAGTAAAGTTGAGGGCTGTACAACCAAAACAAAGAGCTAAAAGACTCTCCAGCGAGCCGAGGCTAACTGAAGTAAATGTACTGTGGGTTCGTTACACTCATTCCTCTTGTTTTGCTTCATCCTCCCCGCAGATGCAGTGATGATGTTTACCTCCACAGAGCGAGTCCACATCCACTAAACCGGGCCTGGCTTCCTGCTCCAATGACCCGCCTCGTCTGACTCCACCTGAGTCCGCCTTCT